GGGGGGGGGGGGGGGGGGGCGTACTCTTATGTTTTGCATGCCTTAGCGGTTAGACCATTGACCACGCGTCCTCGAGAGGACGGAGCATTGTTCCCACAGGACCGATCACCGATGGCCAATCGTTCCTTCCTACTTTGCCAAAGGTGGCTCAAAAATGTCTTCCCTAGTTTGTCTATCCTAACGATGTCCCTTCCCGCCTTTTCAAACCACTTTCTACTCCCCAGTACCGCTACCGTCCTCTCCTCCCTATTCCATGCCTCAAACATCTCCCTGTACGTCCCTTGTATTCTTCCCAGCTCAGTCATGTACACTTCCCTCTCCTTTTCGTACCACGGACATTCCGCGACTACATGAACACTGTCTTCGCATTCGAAGCCGCAATCACATTTGAACTTGTCGTCTTCGTCGTCTACCGTCCTATGTCTTCGTCGACGTTCGCGAAGGCCTATGTCCCCGGTCCTGAATTTGACCTTAAGCTTTGTCCCTGCATCCATTGGTCCATGTAGGTAATCCTTGAACCCTATTCCTTCTTTCAACATTCCGTACACTTCTAGACCCTCCTTATCCTTGGATTCTTTCCTTAGATTCTGTTCTTCTCTGTCGGCACAAGCAACAGATATCTTCTTCTTGAACCCCTGTAGACCCTCCGTTTCAAGCGTTTCATCTTCGTCGATGTCCAATCCCTTCCATACGTCCTCTACAACCTTGACCCATTCCGTGGGTTGTCTACCCCTCTTTTTGTTTGCCCACTTCGCCTCCCATACTATTTTCGGCAATCTCTCCTCTCCCATCCCGCACATGCGATACTGCCATGTCAGCTTCCTTACGTCTCTTCCCGACCGTAGGGATTGGATCCCCAATTCTGCCCTGACTGCTGCATTACTTGTGCGCTTGGAGCATCCTAGGGTGATTTTCGCTGCTTTCATCTGCGCCGCCTCGAGTTCTTTCACTACCTTCTTATTTCCTTCCCATACTTCTCCGGCGTACTCTAGCGGCGGTACGATTACGCTCTTCAAAACCGTCAATTTGATGCGTGTATCAAGGTGCCGGTTTGCGAGTATTGGGTGCAGCTTCCCTGCTCGTGCTTTGCCCTTTTCCGCTACCTTGGACATGTGTGTATTCCACGAGCAATCTTTTGCGATCTCTACTCCGAGGTATGTGTACTGGTCCACTACTGCAATCTCCTCGATCCCCCACTTCCATCTATGTTCTACTGGTTCCTCCCTGCCCTCGTTGCATACCATGACGGCACTCTTCGTAACGTTGGCAGACAATCTCCACTTATCAGCAAACTTCTTCGCCGCGTCAATTTGCAGTTGCAGTCCCTCAGGGGTGTCCGACATACCAACAAAATCATCCGCAAACAGCATTCCTGACACCGAAGTTTCCGTGTCCCCTACTTTTACTCCCTACCGGACTGCCTCTACGACTTCCAACAGATCGCTGATGAACACCTGGAACAATGTTGGGGACAGCGTGCAACCTTGTGGGACCCCTTGCTCAATGTCGAAGAATTTAGAAAGTTCTCCGTCTAGCATGACCGCGCTTTTCGCACACTCTGTCATCTTCTTCACCACTCTCCACATTTTCCCCTTGATCCCGTACTTGGACAATTGTTTCCACAGTCCATTTCTCCATACGGTATCGTATGCCTTTTTCACGTCCAGGAAGAAGCAGTACGTCCGCTTTCCCGCCCTCTTTCTACCTTGGATGATTCTCCCTACCGTGAATGCGTGGTCTACGCACCCCTCTTCTGTCGGAAACCTGCCTGGCCCTCACTAATGCTACGTTTCTTCTCCATTACTCCCACTATCCTATCGTTCAGCAGCTTACAAAACACTTTTCCTACTGTGTTCAACAGTGTGATACCCCTGTAGTTTCCTGGGTCAGTCTTGTCTCCTTTCTTAAACAAGTTCACAACCACTCCTTCCCTCCATCTACTTGGCGCATACTCGTTTTTCCACACCCAGTTGTACAGCAGTACCATCAGCTGGATCATCCCCTTCCCCGCAAACTTCATGAACTCGTTGACTATCCCATCCGCCCCTGCTGCTTTGTGGCACTGCAGCTTGTTCACACACGCCTCAACCTCGTCCTCAGTGAACTCCTTTTCTAGTTCTACGTTCCCGACGTCTGCCTTCGATGTCTCTTCTTCTTTCTGGGCCCATGCGTCCACCTCCTTCTTAAACACTTGGTCAAAATCCTCATTCTCCGAAGGCACTCCAAGTCTCTTGTAGTGTCCTGCTAGAACTTCCCTTTTTCCCTTCCCACTGCTGACTAGTCCACCGTTCACACCTCGCATTGTTGCTACCCCTGTATCCCCCCCTTGCGCGGTCTTTTTTACCATCCCACTAATCCCTTCCCACATCTGCTTGGCGTTCCCCTCCAGGCCTCCGTTGGCCTTCTGCACTACTTCGTCCCAAATGCACTTTTTCTTCTTTTTCACTAGTCCCTTCACCTGTTTCCTCTTGGCCCTGTACTTTTCCCAACTCTCTTCAGACCCCTCACCCAGGTATTGCTTGAAGACTTCTCTACGTTCCCCTATTTCTTCTTTCAGCTCGTCATCCCACCACTTAACCGATACCCCACATCGTACCACCTTCTTTCCCACTACTCTCTCTGCCGTTGTGTTCACTATGGACTCCCATCCTTCAATCACCCTGTCCCCTGCTGCTTGTGCGTCTACCTTTCCGTCTTCGACGCTTCTCAGCAGTTTCCTGAAGGGTTCTACACTACCAGCCAATCCCTTCTGGAATTCATCGCGTGTCCCCTCGTCTCCCAAACGCTCTACTTTCCACCGGAACACTTTCCTCTTTTTCTTACTCTCCGTCTTTCTAGATCGGCCGATGTTTGCCCATATGAGGAAATGGTCGGTCGAACCTGGGGGGGGGGCGTACTATTGTGTTTTGTATGCCATAGCGGTTAGACCATTGACCACGCGTCCTCGAGAGGACGGAGCGTTGTTCCCACAGGACCGATCACCGATGGCCAATCGTTCCTTCCTACTTTTGCCAAACGTGGCTCAAAAATGTCTTCCCTAATCTATCTATCAGGCGCGGGGGGGGGGGGGGGGGGTTACATGCCGTAGCGGTAGACCATTGGCCCCGTATGCCGGGGTGGAGCGGTATCCCGCGGGGTTTCGCTGGTCCTGGCTGCGTTTCATGAGGATGGACCAGAAGCTCGTCATCATGCTTGCGTTTACTTTAGTCAAACCGGACATGCCATGGATTGATCGGAGGAGGGGTTCGTCAAGTGTTGTTTGTCTAGGAGTCTGGCCATGGTTGGCACAACGCATGCCTTTGACATGCAGCGCTGTTGGTTTCTTGGTCTTTCAGAGACTCCCGCCGACCTTCGGTCGCTGAACGTTTCGGCGGGGGGGGGGGGGAGGGGGGTACTCTGCAGTCGGATGACCTAGGTATGACACAAGAGCTAGTATAGCTAGCTGCCTCCATGGAACAGATTTATTGGCAGTGAGAATTGATGAAATCAACTGCACCATTTCTTCCCCGTCCATCAGGCTAGCTCTGTCCATGGGGCAGATCGCATGTTCGTTGAGAGTTTCTGGAATTAACTGCTCCATTTCACAGTGTATCCCCGCCCGTCAGGCTAGTTCTGCGTCCATGGGGCAGATTCCGCAGGCGATGATGGGATCAACTGCACCATTTTCACGGAACATCCCAACCCCCGTCACCCCCCAACGCTTCCGGAACCCCCCAAACAGTTTCGTTGCCAACCAGGCTCACATGGGTGCTCTGCGGGCGGATGATCTGGAGGGTGAAAGGGCTCGGACGGCCGTCCTGCAGGTGAATTGGAAAACGTCAAAATATACGTTGATCGGAAACTACTGTATGAATAGTCAAGTGAGCAGGACACGTGGCATGGAAGTTTTTTTCGTGGAACGGCTGGCGGTTGGGTGAAAAGAAAAGCGTTTTCGCGGAACGCAAGTCGACAGGCCATACAACAGCAACCACCACAACAACAACAACAACAGCAACCACTACAACAACAACAACAACAACAGCAACAACAACAACAACAACAACAGCAACATCAGCGTGCACCTATTTATCTAGCCATATTTTTTGTCGTTGTCCAGGCCATGGCCCAGTCGGTGAGGGGTTTGAGGCAGAGCGCCGTCCTCTGCGCGTCGGAGGAGCTGCCCCTCACGTTGGACCTTCTGCAGGCCTCGGAGACCGTCGCTGCCGTGCTGTGCAGGTGCGTTAGTGTTGTTGCTGCTGCTGCGGCTGCGGCTGCTGCTGTTGTTTGGTTGTTGCTTCTGCTGCTGCCGTTGCTTGATTTCGTGCTCCTGCTATTGCTGCTGCTGATGCCGTCGTCGTCGCTGTTGTTGTTGATCATTGTGACGGAATCTTGTATTCATTCCGTGGCGCACGGTGCCATAATTTTGTGGTTGTACCGCGGATATTCCCCAAAGTTTTTGACGAAGCGGATGGCACGTCCTTTTCGTCTATATGTTTTGGTGCTGCCGTTTTTTCTGTGGTCGGGGTGTCCTAAGCTAGAGAACAAATCAAAGCTGTCCACGAAAGTAACACATGCTCCTGTGTATCTTTCTTCCTGTGGGACCCCGGCCTCTCTGTTTCAAACACATACCGAAAGGTGTACATCGCCGCCAAGACCCAATTGTAGATGGGACGAACACGCGCAACTACATACGCGAAACATCTTTTGAGTTTTGAATAAAATGCGATGCGACGCAGGTGCGCAGTAGCCCCCAAAATGACCGTGAATTAAATCATTTCTAAAACCACCACTTTCTATTCCCATGTAGGTGTGAGGGGGGCGACAAGCTGGAGGCCCTCATGGTGGCAGACCTGTCCCCTCCGTCGTTGGATGCGTCCAAGTCTCGGTATTCCGTCGCCGAAGGTCTCGGTAGCAAGATCGGCGGAAGCGGGGGGAGGGCCGCCGGCGCCTTATCTCTGTCACGGTCGGAGGAGGAGGAGATGGAGGAGTGGGGGGGTTATCACGCTCTCGGGGGGCTCTACAAGGTGCGCGCTTGGAGAACCGGGACGTTCTGGCATGGTGTAGGTAGTACATCGTAATAATACGGAATTGTGTCGTTGCGGTTGCGTGGCGTTTCGCCTTTCGGGACGTTCCGGCATGATGTGGTATTTGGTAATACGGTACTGCGTCGTTGCGGTTGGGTGGCGTTTCGCCTTTCGGAATGTTTTTCGGCTCGGTGCAGTATTGTTTTGCACGTCAGTCTCCCCGTCAGCATGGAATCCTGGGCCCCCTCTGCCCACCCGTTTTGTGCCTGGCCTCTCTCTGCCCCCTTCCCCCCCCCTGCCTCTCTTTTCTGATTCTCTATTTTTCGACTTGGGTCCTTTTGTTTCCTTTCCCCACCCGGGCTCGCGGGGTCCCAAAAATTGTGGGTTTGTGGGGGGGGTGGGCTTTAAAATGGGGGGGAACCCCCGGGGGGGCCCCCCCGGTTAATATTGTTATTTTTCTTGGGCGCCCTTTTTCATTAAAAAAACTGCACAAGAAAAACCTCCTTCCAGGCCCCTCCCCCCCCCCCCCCCCCTGTTCCCTCCACTCTCCTCGACGCACTCCCGGGGTTTCCCAGTTATTTTTGTCCTCACATTGGGCAAGAACATGCAATACTGTACTAATGAAAGACAACGCAGACGATGCGCACGGCACGAGAAAAAACACGAAACGACAACTGTTCATGTGCGTAAACCAATACTTCCTCAACATGGCACACGCTTGCTATCTACAACGAAAAAACAAAATTACAGTGGTACCCCGGGGATGGGCGGGTTCTTCCCCTGGAGGAGGCCCTGAAGCTGGTGTCCGTGTTCGTGAGGCAGGAGATGAGGCTGAGGGTGGCGTTGGTCAGCGGGGACGCTGTCGCGGCGTCCCCGGTTTCCTTGGCAGGTGTGAAAAAAGGGGTCGAGAAAGCTCTTGCCGGCAATGTGGTGTTTATAGTTTATGGGAATGTTTGGACATGCTACTCATTTTCCTTCGTTTCCTCGTTTCTACCCCAATTTCTCCTCTCCAAATTTCTTCTTTTTTCATCACACGAATTTTTTGCTTCATCGCTTGAGTTGTTCTCTTCGCTCTCCTCTTTTGTCCATTCACTCTCTTCCCCAACCCTCTCCCTTCCTTCCTCCTCTGATCTTTCCGTGTTCTTTTTTTTTATTCCTTTAATCCATTTCGTCTCACTTCCTTCTCTGCCCTTTTTCCGTGTTTTTCATTTTTCATTTTTTTTTCTTCGGTTTCGTGTCACTATCTGTAGGAGTTCCATCTACCACCGAGGCGTTGTTGTCCTCGCGGTGGGAGGCGGGGCTGGAGAGCGCGGCGTCCCCCCTCCTGTCCTTCCTCCAGGGGATGGGGGCCCAGCACCTGTGCGTGAGGGTGGTCGCCGGCATGATGGCGATTCCCCCTCCCTCAGCGGTGGAGGTGCTTGGTGATGCTTTCTCGGGGTTGGCGGACAAGGTAGGACGCTAACGTATGGGTGTGAATACCGTCCCACGGCTTTGCGGTACAACCGTGGCCCCGATATATGAGGGTGGTGTGACATAAGCTCATTTATATATCGGAGCCCCGTTTTTTACCGGAATGAGGGGGTACCCAAGTACTCCTATACTTTTCGCAGGTTGTAGTCCGTGACAGCAGCCGATGTTCGACCCATATGAAACCCCCTCTCATTAGGTACCAGGTACCCTGTTACCTCGGATCCACGACCGTATGTGCCGTTTGCACTCGCGGCGTGAGTGAGTTCAACTTGGAACACACAGCAGCGCTCTCTTTGTCTCCCTTTGCCATACCATGCTATGGTACTGCTCCTGTTCTTTTGGGGGGGAAAACACCTAAAAGGTGATGGAGTTCAACCACATCGACTGCCCGCTGGCGATCGGCTACATGCTGGCCATGCCCACGAGACAAGCGTACGACACCTTCCGACGGATCATACGCTACTCCAGCGACGACTACGGAAGGTGAACGAACGGCTGTGAATCGTTCTTTACGCGTAAGAAATTTGGGGTGGTGGCAACAAGTACGTACTCGTGTGTATGTAACGTTTTAGTTGCCTTTGTTTTTCGAGTTTATTCGTGAATTTGCCGTCGAAACCCTTGGACGTTTGTGTTTGTACGGATATTCCGCAATCGTACCCGTCCTTTCTCCCGGCTTTTTTTCTTTTTGTCGTGCCCAGGTAACCCCCTCGGGTCCGCTGGAGTATGATATGTTGCCACTTGTAGCATGAACTACCCGCCAGCCTCTACCCCCCCCCCCCCCCCTCGCGCGCGCGCGCTTGGTGATGTGCTCGCCTGGTCCGGTGAAAACCCGTCGTGCTCCGTCCCGTCTTTGTAGGGATGCGAGGTCAACGGTCTAGCGACTGAGGTTTGCACGGCAATGAATACACCCCCCCACCCGTCTGGATTGACGTTTAGCAGAGGCAAAACGTGGGGTACAGCGCTGGAACACCGCGCCCTCACGCACAACTCTCCTCCCTTTCCAGTTAGACCACCCGGTACCCCCCTTACCACCTGGCCTGCGTTGCCTCAATATGCGTGAACCGAACTGGTTCGTTTCTTTGACCGCTGTACGCACGGAGCTCCCCCGTCTCACTCACGCGAATCCGCGTCGCCCCTCTTCGCTCAACGCGGCGAAGGTTGCGCGTCCTGGCGGGAGTCGGCATGTACGCGGCCCGCGCCTGGGACAACCACGACCTCCTGCACCAGTGCATGGAGGTGGAGCGGGACTCGCACTGGTGGCACGTGCTCACGAGCCTCGGCATCGCCTTCGACAACCGGGGGTAAGGGCGAGCTACAGACAACAGTGGCGGCGGCCACGGTTTTCGAGTGGGTTTGGGACAAGCGCACAATACTCTCTATGTATAAGACAGTACATCTGGTTCTCTCTTGGACCGTATTGTGTGTCGTGTGTAGCTCCTCACGGCCGGGACAAGCGAAAATCACTCTCTGTTAATTCGATCATCTCTTACATCATCTCTCTTGAAAGCGTAGCCGCTGCTGAAAACGGTGATTGGTTGCTGCGGTTTGCGGCGGCGGTGGTGGTGGTGGTGGTGGTTTCGTTGCGGTTGTTTCGCTGTGTTGGTGTTGGTGCTGGTGCTGTTGCAGTGGTTGTTGTTGTTGTTGTTGTTGTTGTTGTTGTTGTTGTTGTTGTTGTTGTTGTTGTTGTTGTTGTTGTTGTTGTTGTTGTTGTTGTTGTTCGTTTTTCGTTGTTCGTTGTTGTGATGTTGTTGCCGTGGCCCCTGCCGCTACTGCTACTGCTACTGCTACTGCTGCGTTGGGTCGAAGTGAAACTCCACTGTCACGTTGACGCGAGAACAGAAGGGAGAAGCGAGGGTGGGGATTTTTCTTGAAAATTTCCGACCATTCCACCCGCCGCCTTTCCTACACCAGTACAGCAGTTCACGCGTCTGAACAGGTCCTTTCGGTTCCAGGGTTTGGCAACAAGCTCCACCCCCTGGGGTATCCCACGGAACCCCCCGCCCCCCTCCCTCGTTGCAGGGGACAATAACAGGCTGCATCCAGTCTAAATAGCAATAATAACTGCGGGTAATATTGCTTGACAAAGCAAGAACCCTCCATTGTGCGAGAGACCCGCGCTGCACTACATCGCCCCTCCCCGCCCCCCGACCGCTGCTGCCAACCCATCCACGCCCTTCCCACTGCCGTTGCCGTTGCGCCCTTGCCCCCTTGCTTGCGAAACAGCTTCTCGAGGGCGGACAGGTCGCAGGTGCCGGGGGAGTACCAGAAGTCGCTCGTGCCGGCGTTGCTGGAGAGGTCGGGGTGCGACCTCGGCCTCGCCCTGGAGTTCTGCGAGCGCTACGGCGTGGGGGAGGCGTTCCCGTGCCTGCTCTACGTGGACAACCAGCTCGGGCTGCCGTGTGTTTCCCCGCATGACGTGTCCTATCAGGTCTGTTTTGTTTTTGTTTTTTACACTGTGTCGTGGTGCTGTGTCGTCCGTTGTGTCGGATCCTGCATCGTGTTGGGGTGAGGCGAAGGGATCTCATTGTGCTGGTTGGTCATCGCTGAACACTACATCCAACTCAAAACGTACCGTTCTCGGCCGTTTCTTGGCCGTTTTCGGCCTTGTTGTACGGTTTCTTGGCCTTGCTGTCCGTTTGTTGGTCTTGTTATACCGTTTCTTGGCCTTGTTGTACCGTTTTCGGCCTTCTTGTACGGTTTCTTGGCCTTCTTGTACCGTTTCTTGGCCCTTTCGTACCGCTCATAACCATCGCTTCGAGCGATGTTGCCACCGGACGTACTCATTCAAACCTATCATCTACTCTGTAGTATTGTAAATATATTCTATCACTCAGGCGTTATGTGGTTCTGTGTTGTCTTAGGGGGCGCAGGGGGGGGCGGGGCGTATGTTTGCCGTTTTGGCGCTGTCGTGGTGTGTCATCGTTGTAGCCCGCACGGTTTTTCGTATCCTGAATTCCTTGTGCGTAGCTGACTTGGTTGACGCGTGCTGATGCCAACGAGAAACACTAGCATGGATAGCGAAACACTAGGACAGCAGCCAAAACAACAGGAAAAACCAACAGGGTCGGTTTTGTCATCCTATGACGATATTTGTGTTGGCCCGTGTGTGTGCGCCTTTATTTTTAGCAGCATGCATACTCGGCTGGCCGATTGAAAGATGCAGTCTCAGTGAGGTCGAAAACAGAAAATGCTTCTGTGTGTAGCAAAAAGACGTCAGTCTCCGGGAGGTTGAAACTAGAAAATGCTTCTGTGCGTAGCAAAAAGACGTCAGTCTCCGGGAGGTTGAAACTAGAAAATGCTTCTGTGCGTAGCAAAAAGACGTCAGTCTCCGGGAGGTTGAAACTAGAAAATGCTTCTGTGCGTAGCAAAAAGACGTCAGTCTCAGGGAGGTCGAAACTAGAAAATGCTTCTGTGTGTGTGTCAAGAAATATGTCAGTCTCCGTTACGCTGAAAACAGAAAACGCTATTTGCTGTGATTGCGATTGTGCAGGAGAGAATCACGGAGGTGCTGCCGTCGGTGCACGGTGTGTTTTTGTCGAGGATGCTAAGGCACATGCTGGAAACCCCGGGGATGATCTGCGACCGGGACTACGAGCGCCTCGCCTTCGTGTACGGCACTCTCCTGTCGGACAAGTGCCAGGTATGGATCGAATCGGTCAAATGCAATCTAGAATGAAGTAGTTTCTTTTGGAGTGCATCCACAGATATCCCCTGTCTTGGTGTGTGGTCCCCAAAACACCAAAATTTGAACAAGATACAGCAGTACAGTCAAAATGTCCTATTGAACACACAAACACGCACGTTTCTGTGCCATTAAATTAAATGAAGTAGTCACACACGTATGTTTCTTACCATCAAACCAAATTAAGTAATCACACACGTATGTTTATCTAAGGGACAGGGCGTGAAGACTTTTGTAGCGATTTGTTTTTGCTTTTCGGGATGGTTTTCCTACCTCATGGAGATGAGTGCTAGCCAAGTAGGAGTGAGAGTTTTGGAAGCCTGCCCCCGTTGTCGGGGGTGAGATGAATTAAC